AGTGAAGCTATGTTCCAGGAAGTAAAGAGCAGTTTTACATGCCTAAATTAGTTCCTTCACCACATCAGGGTGTTAGTGCTGCGGTTGGTCTGGCCCACTGAGAGATTAATGATCACATGCAAGAAGGTGTGAACTGGCATGAAACTGATTAGGCATCAGGATTATTACTGAACTTATGTTTCTGAAAATCTTCTCTGTCCACAATATGGACACTTTGGTCTTAAAAAGATTGTCTCTCATTCCTAAAGGACAGCCGTAGCTTTTCATACCCCTTTTCAGACATAACATTATAATATATTTAGTTGATGACACATACTGTTTAATTTTATTGGATAATTTGGGATAGATTTATTGATTCATTCAATATTCATGCCATTCATGTGGTACTTTCAATCAGGTTGTTTAACAAAAGGATTATTTGCCATTGATGCTTTAGTCACTTTGGAAATCAATAACATGAATAACAGCTATAGGCAACAAGTCAAATTTTTGGTTAGACAAATGATATACCTAATCACCTCCTAAATTATAAAGTAATTACATTTTTCCCTCCATTTCTTACAAAATAATATATTTAATCCTTTAGATTTGGAACCCGACTAAACAGGAAATAAAACAGTGTGATTGGCTCTAAGGAGAGCGGAGACAGAGGACACTCTGAGTTTACAGATGAAAACCTGCTACCGACCAGGTCAGCTCTGGGGAGAATGTTGCTATGGTAACTGAAACAAAGGTTGAGGAAACTCTCTTTGTAAAAAGGAATAGTTCCCCTGATTTCAGGTTTAGAAAACTTCAGTTTTCAGTAAACCTGCTGCATAAAGTGGACACTAGATCTTTCAATGCTTGGTAATGTGATATATATTTGCGTAAAAAAAAAATTAAAATTAAAATGGAGGTAAGCTGATCAGTTTACTGTGGTTGTTTCTTTAAGGGCTGCAACTTCCTCAAATGTTTCTTCTGAAACCAGAAGAGAGGATGACAGAACGATTCAACCCTGAAAGGTGTTATAAACTAGGAACAGAATCAAGTCCTTTGCTGTATCAAAATGTCTTCAGATATTTACTATAAAGTAGATTTAAGCCGGAAGGTGAGATATACCAAAGAGAAGCAAGATGACGTAACAAAATGGGAAGAAAGGATTGTAGACATCTATGAGTCTGTAGATGATGTTGCTGAAGACATCATAGATTATCATCCACAGGAAGAAGGTAAGTAACTTATACCGTAGGTGATAATGTAGTTTGTTTCAGGGTTTTTTGAATAAGATCAGTATTGCTAGTTATTCATAAGCATTAAAATTGGTTATGAAAACCACTAATTTCACCAAAGCAAAATGATCTTCTGAAAAATAAAGTTGTATTTTTAACACTGCACTCTGAACATAACAAAAAATGTATCTGTTATTGTTTATGTTACATATTTCAGTTGCATAGTTAGTCACCTGAGGATCCAAAGGCCTTATGGGGACCAAATGCTGGTCCTAATGTGGTGAACCCTGTTTTAAAGTCAGGGAGTCACTGTAGAGGGTGTAGATTAACTTGGTTAGGAATATACTGCTAATAGTTAAATTTCAAGGATAGGCATAAACACAGTAACTGGATATAAGTCAATGTAAAGTAATAATATCGATAGAAATACAAACTTGTGTATGTGTGTGTAGGTTCTTGTATTTCCTACATTGTGGGGCCTATTTTCTGGGAAAATAGCACATTGTGGGGACTGACTGTTCCTTGTAGGGCCTAATGCCTAGAACCCATACAGAAAATTGCTGTTTTAGGGTCAGGGGTCATGTTTAGGACTAAGGTGATCATTTTGTTTTGTTTGGGGTTGGTATGAACACATAATGGTTAAGATCAGGGTAAGGGTCACGGTTAGACTGGAGAAATTAAAGGAAGTCAATTAAAAGGCCAAGCAAAGATAGAGAGACAAGTTTGTGTGTGTGTGCATCAGAACAAGGATACATTTTCCGATTCCAACATCAAATTGGGGACCAGTTTCTGTAGAGTTAGGGTTTTTTTCCTGGTCCTCACAAGATTTTGCCCCATTATTAGGTGTAGGACTGAGATGTTAATTGGGTTTAGTTTAAGGTTAAGTTTACAATGGTAATGCTTAGGTTTAGGGTTATTGTCAAGCCATGTAATATTAACTGTTTTCTGTATTTTCATCTTAACTACAGTAACTTTAACTCTAGATACACTTTGGTTAGGCTATAATTTAACATAGACGGTATACTAATAATAGTTTCTGGGTTCTTAGGTTATTCAGCAGCTACCTGTTTAATATTGAGATTTTTTGTGAATCACACAAATGTAGTCTACCAATTATTGAGTTTCCTATTAAGGCTATAGAGCAGGCATGCCCAAAGTTGGTCCTTGAGGGCGGTGAACGCCGTAAATTAAACCTATTGGTGAAAATTAAGTATTATAGGTCCTTTGATTTACTTTTTTCTGCACCACACTCTCATACTTCATAAAATGTGAAATAAAGTCTGTAAAAGCTGATTTGGCCTTGCTTCCTCTTTCTCCCCAGGTCCAATCAAAGGTGATCAAACATTTGAAACATACAGTACAAAGTAGTCAAAAGCAAAGACAGAGTTCACATGTATAAAATACTTTAGTGATAGATGTTTCTATAAATTCTTCAACTTCCTCAAAAGTTATTATTGTGGGTAGAAAGTAGGCTGAGCAGGAAGAACTGACACTCTAGATCTGCTTAATATAAAGTTGAGAAACTTTCAGAGTCAAATCTATTTTCATAACTGCAGTGAGTTTAGTAGAGCCTCCTTCACCTGTTGGATATTATCAGGATGGCCTTAAGAATGAAATCCACTCCAAACTTGTTCCAAAAAGTAAGATACAGCATAAAAAAGCAAGAGGACACAGTAGAGTGGGAGAAAGAGAACGTTTACATCTACAACTACATAAATGACCTGATGGATGATCCTCAGCTAGAAGAAGGTAAGAAAGGAGATTATATAAACAGGACATACATTGATGTAAGGCAATATGGTAAATGGCCTGAACTTGTTTTAAGCTTTTATTAGATCAAGGAGTCCAGAGCGCCTCAGACCACATTCACACATTGAGAGCGCTTCACACTAAACATTTAGTCAACATTAATCTGTCCTGATGCAGCCTGACAGAATCAAGGCTGCTATAGAATTAGTTAAGCTGCTGCCTTTGACCAGCATTTAGCAGAGGTTTTTTGCCAGAAACCCACCTGTAACAAGACAAACCCCTACCTCATGTGCTAACATCGCTACATAATTATTTGCAAAATAGTTTACAAAATAAACATCTGCTTTGACTTAAGTTTTTGTAGCTGAAATGTTTCATGCTTCTGTTGAAGGACTTTCTCAGTTTAAAGCTATTGAGGAAGATATTCTAAGCTTTAAAGCTGTTTAGGATGTGCTGCTCTGCAGATCTATATTCACATTCAGATCAGACTCCTTTAACAATAGAGCCTTGTTAGTGCTGTTGTTGGTCACATGGCAAAGTGTAAACTGGGTTGAAACTGACTGGGCATCAGGGTTAATGCTGAACTAGATGTTTTTATAAACCTTAATCTGAGCCCTCCTCCTCTGGTTAGTTTTATTATTTCTTGTTGAATCAGAAAGGCTTCATTCACTCTTCTCCCAAACCATCAATCTTCTCTTTCCAAAATATACGTGTTGGTATCAGACGATGTTTATCGTCACTGAGGCAGAGGACATGAACATCCAGGGGCTGATCTAGAAAAATATTTATGGGGTGGCAAGAGGGGGACAGGAATTTTTTAGGGGTGGCAACATATGGCATTTGTTTACACTGAATTTAATCACAGTTATCACAGTTTGGTGAGAATAGTATGTACAGTACTAGTGTTTCATGTGAAACAGTTCATATTAATAATACATCGTACAATGTGATCTCACTTAATAGGAGATAGAAGAGTGATAACACTACTTCTAGAAGGGCCTTATGACAGGAAAGGTATTAAGGTAAGACACAGGTGCTGAGTAGTAGATGTGTGAGACTGACTGTCAGAGAGGCAGCTTTGCAGCATTTGCACAAGAAGAAACTACAGAAAGAAAAAGTTACCCATCAGAGATCTATGGACTGAGCTGGACTAAAGTGAGCAGAACTACACAGTAGAAATAAATGGGTCAAGGCACCCGAACAAGGTACTGGACATCTATGTAATGTTTACTCTGAACACACATTTACCCCATTTGTTCCTCAGTAACTTGACATACAGCAGTTAAGGCAACATGAAAGGGACATTTCATGCATGTAAATATGCTGTAGATAGAGCTGTATATGGAGGTCCAACTCTGCCATATTTAAAAATAAAAACATAAATAAATAAATGCTCAGTAAATAAATAAGCATACAATTAATTGCCACCAAAAATACAATCAACAGAGTTAATACAGTCTTTCTCTGGAATTAGATCATTTTCAGTTATTTATAACAGGTGAAATAAAAAACTCATTCTGTTCTTTTTATATTTCAACATGTCTCTGTTTATTTTAAGGGAGGAAATCTAAATGCGTTTCTGCTGCTATATGAAAATCCTATATTCTATGTTAGAATCTTCGTATTAAATGTTATCATTACGAATAATATATTATGGGTTGAATAGGCTTATTACTGCTGACTCAGCCAGGCAGAGGAGCAATACTGATAGCATTACTGTTAGCTGTCTCTTTATAAATTGCTGATTCCCAATATGTTACCTGTTTAAATAAACTGCAGCTGGAATGAATGCTTCAAAAACAAACACAGATGGAAACTGTATCTACTGTATGTATTCAATTTTAAATCATCAGTCAACTTACAGGAAATTTCACAGCTCTTTATGCTTCCAGTTGCTCCTCAAACTTCAGGGAGAAGATGATGTGATTTGCAGCATGAGTAGCCAATAACCTAAATAATTTAAATCAACATAAAGAAACACTTATCTAAAAATGTTGGTAAATGATAATTAATGGTTTTCCTCTCTAATATTTCTCCCTGCAGACCAACAGGCCCACAGACAACCTGCAGGGGAGAGAAGTTGTGTCCAAAGAGCAAAACTGTTCAACGCACTGCTGTGGATTTTAATGTTGGCTGCAATCATCATCCTGACCACATACTGTAAGAAAACAATGCAACACATCAATGCAAGATGTATTTTTAGTTAAAATGCAGATCTAACACTACCTGATTCATTATTTATCCTTCAACATGATACTACAGCTCTCAGCATTAATGCATCAAGTTATGTTTAGCTGAACTGAAACTCGTTTTTCAGCTTTACTACAGTAACAAACAAAATATTTCTGAAGAAATTTCCTGAGAAACTGAATGGGAAAATCGTTATGGTGAATAAAAGATCACAATGGTGTAATTTGATTGATTTGTCTCTGTAAATGCCTTTAGATGACATGTGGTGTTGAATGACTTGATTTTATGTTAATCCTTACACTATAGTGAGGTGACAGGGTAACATTTAAACTGTAGTGGGGCTCAACACGACAATAATGTCTTCATTTAGATCCACTTATGTGTTTTTTTGCGACTTTTTCTTCAGACTTTAATAAAGCTTAAAAATGTGACACCAGGTGTTACCTTCCAGCTAATATGGTGAAGATCATTGTCTGAATTGTTATTATTTTTTTACTTTGCTATTATCAGATTATCTTATCAAACACTAGATGAATAGATCATGAGCTGCAAAATAAGACTGTACATATGGCTGCAAACTGTATTAATTGAACCAGTATAAAGTTTTTACATTTAAAGCTGAAGTGGCTAAAGGTTCAGGGTCAAGTATTTGTTGTCTTTGAAAATGTTTAAACTTTATAATCCTTTGGAATTTTTTAGTCAGTATGAAAATACATAAAACCTTTTTAATTTGAAGGAAGGTTTTTAGTTTCAACAGCAAATGCATTTTTGTGTAAAACATCTTTCTTTATAGAGCAATGAAAGGATGAAATGCCTTTATACTAAAATTGGTCACTAGAACACATTTCTATATTTGAGAGACGAATGAGGAGATTTATTTGCAGTGACAATTTATAATTAAACAACTGTCTGAATTAAATCAGGTTAGAGACAGACTGCCTAATTTTTATTGAAATGTTTTCAAATTGTAAACAAATATGTTACCTGTTACATTGAAATTTTTTGTATACAGTGGGCCGGATCTATCAAAGGTTTGCGTGTATAAAAACGTGAGCTATTTCACTGTGCACGCTAAAAAATGTACAAACTGATCTATCAACAGCGTGCTAAAAGGATTTGATCTTTAAAACATGCTAAATAGCGCCTCTTATCCATTTAGTACTTTTTCTGCAATGAATATGCAATATGGGGCGTTTACATGCAAAAGTGCGTCTTGAGGGAGGAGAACATGTAAATATATTAATTTAGCACTCGCAAAGTGATTTATTAAACCTGAAAGCAATTTTGCTAACGGTATCTGACTCTATATTTAACACGTTTCAAAAGAAGGTGCAAATGGTCTGTATGCGTAATTGCGCACACATGGCAGCGGTTATTGTCGCAAGAAGGAGACATTGAAATGAAGCAGGGAGACGCAGAGAACGCATTTTTTCACTCTGTGTGAATATTTTTGGAATGAACGAGGAAACGATCATCAAAACATATCGTTTATCCAGCATTGCCATTTTGGAGCTGTTGGGGGAACTCCGAATGGATTTGGAGCCAGCCACAAGGAGGACCCACGCAATACCAGATATCACAAAACTCCTTGCAACATTGGATCTCCCAATCTCGTTTTTCAGAAGTGCTGTCCGACGTTCTAAATGCCATGTCGCCCTGATGCCCTACCGGAGAAACCAGACCTCCCCCCTGCGTCTGTGGAGCAACATGCCAATGCTGCGGGGATGCGTAGCCGCAGTAATCTCATCCACAATCACTTCTTGTGAGCCATTTGGTATGTGCATTTTTCTACAGGCCAATACAAAACACACGTTTTTTGGTTAGGGAATAAAGGTTGCCATATATATATATATATATATATATATATATATATATATATATATATATATATATATATATATATATATATATATATATATATATATATATATATATATATATATATATTTTTTTTTTTTTGTTGGGGGTCACTGTAAGATTTTCTTAATGCACTAGTTTGTACAAACTACAAACTACTTTGCCGCAAACCACAAAATGCGCAAAACCGACATTTAAATAGGGCGTCTCCAACAGTTTTGCGCCTGCCACCAGTTACGCGATCACTCTTGTTAAATCACCCGCAAACCATGGTTCAGCCCCTCGCGCAAAATTCCAGTTTGCGAGCGCAAATTACTGCACGCAAAATTGGATCTTGATAAATCCGGCCCAGTATGTAATATTTTTAATAACGACCTTTGAAAGACCGGCTGGTGGGAAAGCTCAGGTAATGAGGATCTAAATAAAAAACAACAAAAAGCTAAATAAAAAAAGCCATTGTATTATTTTCCAATTTTCCTTTAGTCACTTTGGAGATGAATAAAGTGAAGTACAGAAATAGCCAACAACACCTCCAACTTTCAGGTAAAACACATTTCAACCTTTACCAGCTTAACATATTCAGTCGGTAAATATTTCTGTTTTATATCCTTACAAAAATTTGTGTTTCCTTCTTGAGAAATGACAGCAAACAACAGTCTGCTGCAGGACAGCTATAACAATCTCAGCAACGCTTACAGCCAAAAAACGGATGAAGTAAAAAGACAAAAAGATACTATTAAAGGTAAGAAAAACAAAATAAAAATGGAAAATAAAATCTGTATTAAACACCTAGTTCATGGTTTGCATTATTCAGAATCAGATTTGTTTAGCTCTTAGGTATAAAAACATGGAACTGGTCAGGAATAAGCTAAAGAAATGGAAAAAAAAAAAAACATATTGGTGAAATATTTAAAATGAATATTGACTAATAAAAAACACATCCTGATCCCTAAAACATTTATCATGTTTAAAGGAAAGTGGTGTCCTGATGGATGGACAAGATTTGGATGCAGCTGTTATTTTAAATATCAAGAGAAAAAAGATTGGCCAGACAGCAGGAGACGCTGTCAGGAAAGAGGAGCTGATCTAGTGATCATCAACAGTGAGAAGGAACAGGTGGGTCTGTTTGGTTATGTATGTCTCTTCTTTGAAATAAATCTAAAATAAATGTTTATTTTTTTCTAAAGAAAACTATCTGCTTTAACCTAGAGATAGGGACGAAGAAAAAGAAAACTGGGCACACAAAAATATTAAAAAAATAAATCACCCTTTAAAGACTGTAGCTGAACTGAATCCTTCAAATCTCTCCTGCTGGGCATCAGATTGAGAATAAATGTTTATCTGTGGTGAACCAATACAAATGTTTTAATTTCTTTCTATTCTAATAGACAATAAAAAAAACTATTTGATGATGCAGAGATGTAGGCAGTAACTTTCTCCAATCCAGACACGTCACAGTAAACCTGCTCTGGATGGTTTGGGAGTTTAAACATAATGAATAAATCAAGCAGTCTGCATAGAATGCTGCACTTTTACTTAACATAAATTCCTAATATTCAGCTTCTAAAACAAACTAAGCTTTAAATTATAAATCTGTTTCACAAGATAATGTGGTGAAATGAAGACAGAGAGAATGACATAGAGGAGGAGAAAACAGTAGAGGTCAACACACCACTGAGCTTTAGCCTTTATCAGGGCACTGATTGGTTCATAGATGGTGTAGACCATGGAAAGACCTGAACCAGCTTAATAATGCTGAAATTATTAGAATTGTACAAGTCGCAGTAGATGAAAGCAGAGATGTCAGACGGATTGCAGTCTTGAATCGGTGAAAATAAGCTAGAAGGCAAATCATAGAGATCCTGCAATCCTACTAGAGAACTTTCTGCAATCTATCGCTGTTTTAACTCCCCATCTAAAGGTTCAACATATTTAGACAATGTTGAGTTAGTAGGTTCTCTATTGTGTGCATAATAATACATTAGAATTTATTTTTTAGTTTAGTTTTTATTTTTTAGTTTAGTTTTTATTTTTCAGTTTAATTTTTATTTGAGTCTCAGTTAATTGGATAAAGATTTTACAGGCTGCACCTACCAAAGTGAGAACAGTTAATAAACACCTGGAAAATAAAATGACTTTTATAGTGTGGCAAAAAAATATTATTTTAATTAAAAGACATTATAAGAATATACATTTTTATTGTCGTAAAAAAAAAAAAGAATTTATAATTTGCTGTTTAATGATAAGAGAGTCATTTTTAATGAAAACACAGCATATTTATTATTATTAAGGATTACCATTTTAAAATCTTTTCTCAAACAGGAATTTGTGAAAAAGCTAAATGAAAATGGAGAATCCTGGATTGGTCTTTATAACATGTTGATAGAGTCGACACGGACGCTTGGCTGGAGTTGGGTGGATGGATCACCACTGACACCAACGTAAGTTTCATCTTAAAGTCACTCAAATATAATCAACTATTGGAAGGTGCAATAATATTATCGTGTTGATGGTGCCATTGTGTTGCCATGGCTACAACTCTTGATCCACAATAATTAACTCTGTCTTTTAATGTAAATGTTTGAGTTTTATCTTTAACTCCAAAAGCCTTTCCGCTGGATTCATTTAGGATTCTAAATTCAAACAAAAATCCATCATCTATAAATGTTAGACCCTGAGGAAAAAGAGAGAAAAAACAATATTCAAATTTGCTGCAACATGGATTCATAGAGCAGTAAATATATGATTTCTTATAGTATGTCATATTTTTTTTAAAATTCAAGTAGAAACAGTTCATTTCAGTTGGTCTATGCTCACAATTATTTTGCTTACATATCTGCCTTAACTATGATTATGTTATTTAACTTAATTGATCTCACATTGGAGAAATTTACCTCCACATTTAACCCATACCCTTGGGGAGCAGTGGACTGCCATCATAGGACTCCTGGGGATCAGTGTGGGGTTACGGGTCTTGCTCAGAGTGGCAGTCTGTGGGAGTGGGGCTCGAACTCGGAACCTCAGGATTCTAAGCTCTATGCCCTAACCACCAGGCCTCCACTCACCATATGAGTTAAATAATCAGATTTAAAAAGTGTACTTTGAGAATGACT